TAGTTTTTAATTTTTTTCACCCCTTTCCCGGTGGTTGAGAACTTTTTTACTTTGCCCACAGTGCTGTACGCATTTTTCTGATAATTTCCATATTTTTTCAGCCGTATAGCTCAAAAACCCGATTTCAGGGCTATTTTGACTGGACTAAATAGCATAAGGATCCACCCCCATAGTCCACCGACGGGTACAGCCTATGGTTTTTGGTAGTGGGAACTATGTATAAAGAAACTTGATCTAGAACATCGGAATGTTATCTCTTTTTATGGTATCGCATATGTTTACATAGGAATCCAAAATCCTTCAAAGTGTCCCGACACTGCACAAAGGGTTTTTATTGCACCAATATATCCCGATAATTCTTAGGTTTGTTTATGGTTTTATGACCTTCCTAATTTTTTTTTTTAGTCTCTGAATAGAGTTTTCCTTTCTAGAAAATAAAATATAAAGAAAAGAACTGAATACTAGTTTTTCGTCTACATCTTTGACACCTAAAACTCTCCTACATACATAAAGATAGACAAGAATGTTTTCCATTCGGTGGACAACGTTACCTATCCACTATGGTCTTTACCTCGAGGCACGATTATCGATTATGAAATTGCAGCGGATAAAGCGAACGAGAGAGTCCGTCGGTTTTATTCGAGATCAGTTTACGTGTTAGTATGTGTTTTGCGTGTATGTCGTGTAGTATTCGCGTAGATATGCGTCAGTTGGTTTTCCGATTATCCGATGGCTTATTCTCCTCCTTTCCTTTTCTTTATATTCTACGTTGAAACTATCTCTGTCAGTTCACTCTCTACTTTCATATTCGTCATATTTTTCTCTGTCTCCTTCTTTTCATCAATGTTTTCCGGTTATCTTTCATCTTTTTTTTCCTTTTCTTTTTCTTTTTTTTTCTTCTTCCTTTATCTTTAGCAATCTCCATTCATCATTATTTTTCATCCACAGAACGTTTATATTCACAAAAATGCAATTTTCATCTTTCATTTCACTTTTCTCATGTTACTTGCTTCTATTTCCGATAATTACGAATAAAATTTAAACATATTGGCAATTATTATTATTTCACTTTCTCGTTGAAAGATTTTGTTGAAAAGAGGGTTTAGTTCGTAGTTTTCTCATCTTTTTCAAATCCTTTTACTACTTTTTAAAAAATAGATCAACTTTCATTCCTTTTACTGAGGAACGAATCTTAACATGGAGAGAGAGAGTCGAAGTTCCACACTTCGCGCCTGTTTTGAATTTTCCAAGAGCTACTACCGGAAAGATTTAGATACTCTTAAACTACTTTTTCAAAAGATTTTCCACAAAAAACAACGTTTACTATCCTATTTGAAATTTATGGATTATATATGCAGAAACTTTTTCGTTTATATCTCCAATATTCGTTTATAACATTAAACAGATATACATTTAAATGATTAAATTATCATTAAAACATTAATTTAGTAAGGATTCATTAAATTTGTTGAAATATTTTTGCTAATTGTAACTTACTATGTCTCCATTAATACGGAGAATTTCTAATAATCGTATATATATATATATATATTAGAATATATTTTAACACAAAAAAAGAAATAACTATGTTTTTCTTTAATCATTTCCTTTCCAACAAACATAAGAAGAGAAATAAAGAACAATAGAGAAAACCTTATATTTTCTATGCAGAAAAATATGAAAATCCTATCAAGCAAGTTGTTTAGAAAAAAAAAGGAGGAAATAAAAAAATGTTGTACAGGAAAGTAGAAAAATTCAGGGACTGAGGAAAGAGGGAAGGAAGATGGGAAGAAAGTTGGTAAAGGTTTTTATCACAGGATTTTTCAAAGCTGACCTTCGATAGAAGTTTAGCGATAGAAGTTCGACGTTTACGAGGTTAGTCGCGTACTCACTTTATTCGGTTATAAACGAGTAACTCGGCTATCTCTCGTCCCAGCCTGGAATATAAAGTTTCGACGAAGACCAACACCTTTGGATCTATTCTCAATCGAGCCTCGCTCCGGTGATCCGGTGCCGAAGGCAGTCTCGTCGCACCCCTTAATGTGGAGCATCTTATCGAGGGCTCGGGTCTGGTATCTCGATGTATCAAACTGAAAATACAAAAAATCAACAAATTACATTATATTCCCTTGTTTAATATTATTAAACAGAATCAAAATTTAATACAATTTTTTAAATATTTGAATGATTGTTAGGAACAAAATATTTTTAAAATTATTTAAAGAAAAAATCCCTAGATGGTCTTTTAACTCTGTGATCCGAAATAATCGTACGGCAACTATCTGTATTCGAAATGCGCGCAAACGATTCTATCTATTAGGATTTTAGATCGATACTCGTTACGAATATCGAACAACTACAAGCGACTATCGAAGCGCTAACGATAGCCACCCCCACCTCTCGCGTCCCCACCTCTCACCTCCCCACCATACGACCCCTGCTGGGCAAATTCAAAGGGACGGAAAAATAAAAAAGACAAAGATAGAGATAGGGATACAGAGAGAGAGAGAGAGAGAGAGAGAGAGGGAGAGAGAGAGAGAGGAGAGAGAGAGAGAGAGAGAGAAAAGAAAAAGAATTTATGTTAATGTACTCGACATTGTCGTTTCAGTATCGAAAGCATCCCTGGATGGTCCTTTAACGTCGATATCAAGAGTATCCTACGAAAAACCATTAACTTTGATTATTTCTTCGTATTAACGTCGCAGACATCGGATAAGAAAAAAAATATAATAATTTCAAAAAAATATAAATATTTTTAGATGATTTTTAATATCAATACACTCAATTTAAACGAATTTATAACTTTAAAGATTTATTTTGTTTATAATAAAGTTGTTTAATTTTTAGGCTAAAAGTCATTTTAAAATCACGTAGGAAGTTTGTGAACCACTCTGTATTAGAAAATTGAATATAATTATGTGTCATCGAACTTGGAAAACAAAATTTTTTTCAGATACGTGATATTAATTAATAAGAAAAATATTCTCCTTGAGTAGGTATGGTTCGTTAGAATAATTAAAAGTAGTTGTTTCGAAAAGAAATGAAAAATGTGACTAAGCGTGCATTTGGAATTATTTTTATTCATGACGAGTAGTATCGAGTCAGCGAGAACGGTCATTCGGGTAGATTTAGTCCGGTAAAAAGCGTCGACAAAATCGCGATTCACCGTCACGCGAACGTACAACACAGGATTACAAATCGATAACCAGGGATTCTCTGGTCATGATACCTCCTAACTACAATTTTACCAGTTGAAAAGTTGAAAAACTTTCCCTAACATATATGACATTTTTTTTCTATAAATTTAATTTAATAATTTGATAATAAAAATCAATTATTTTTTCAATTATTATTTAGTTTAACCACTCAAAAGGGGTGGTGCTTAGACAATGAATAACACGATAGTATCGTTATTAATAAATGGATGAGGTAAATTTATGCGAATTCATAGATTATAATTTTGTTGGATATGCTAATAGGTGACTCATAAAGAGCGGAATAATCGACACTATATTTACGTACTTTATTGGCAGCGATAAAGTCGCATACGGAAATGTTGTTCGCGAATTTATTTTCCGTGCTATTAAATTAATCTCTTTTTAATAATCGCATCTAATATACATTTATCTACGTATTTTTACAAAAAGAAGAAAAAAAGGATCACACACACAAACCACGCGTGTTCGTATACTCGCGTGAATTTGATTAATTTAAAAAAAAAACAATGGAATAAAAGATCTAACTATTAAAAAAAAAATAGAAAATATTTATCGTAGGAATACAGGGGAAGATATTCCCGTAGTAGTTTTTTATGTTGATCTCGATTAAAATTTCATTATCGATTAGTCGTGCCGGGTCAAACGGCGTTCATAAATTTTCTATGTAAAGGTACTGGAAAGAGAGTGAGTGTACGCGCGCGCGCGCGCGCGTGTGTGTGTGTGTGTGTGTGTGTGTGCGCGAGAGAGAGAGAGAGAGAGAAGTAGCAGGAGCGCTGGTTATTAATTCTATATTGATGACGGCTAGAATATATCATTTAAATTAGACTTTCAAATGAGTTCGTTCTTGCCAGCGAAGCTCTAACTTTTTATAAGGTACTCTCACCCTACCTCACTTCTCTCTCTCTTATGTCCTCAAAATTCACGATTCATTAGAAAAGATATTATGAAGTAATTGAAGCGCTCGTACTAGGAAAGATTCGGTTTTAAATAAAAGATATTTTCTCGGATGAAATTCATTCCTTCTTCCATATTGAAGTTATTACCAAAGTATTTATGTAGTTTGTTGAAATGAGAATCGGAAAATTAAAAGGCGTACTTGAAGGGAACATCAAGGAGCAAGTATACACGATAAGGTTCATAAACCGGAAGCCGTGTCCTCTCAAAGGGACCAATTCTCGTATCCGAGAGCCACGTGGCGTGTCCATGTATAAGGTTTCAAGTTGTAGGTACGTCAAGTAATCTGGCTCGAGGGAGATACACACCCACTTCCATCTCTCTCTCTCTCTCTCTCTCTCTCTTTCTCTCCTCTTTATTACTATAACTATGTATATATCTATCTCTGTCTATCACATTCTAGAACTCGCCCTTGTATCTAACTCCAGGCTATACCTGAAAGCTCGAAGTAAGCCTATTAACGCGCGCCCTTATTAGAGGATGTCACCTGACCCAAATTCCAGTGCCCCTTTTAGCTAACGGGCCTCGCGTACCGAAACGTATCCTTAATACGAATTTACAATGACTGAGGTAGGTCTCTCTTCTATTCTGTATTTATCATCTATGCATCTATGCATCTATACACCTACATAACTCACTTTGAATCTAACATACTCGGTACATCGTCTTGAAAGTACTCTAAATACGGTCATTAGCTTTACCTCTTTGATGAAACTTCATCTTTGTAGTACTACGAAACAAGCGGTTTCAACGTCTTTGTTCTTTTCAGTATTATTTTCTAGATTATACTTTAACTTTTTTTTTCAATGTAGTTCTTTTCTTTATTTTATTAGAAATATTTTCTTTGGAGATTTGTTGAAATATTTTGAAAATGTGGAAATTACATGTCCTTTTTCGGGGTTTTTATTGATAATTTTTAGGAACGAAATTTTTATTTTCATTTTTGTCATTTTTCCAAATAAATATTCATTCCTTCTAAATCGAATAATTTTTAAGATCTTTTAAAAAGATATGTAATTTATATACCAAGGATAATATTAATTTTATATATTTTAATATTTTTTTCAAAATATATAATTCATATACTGTTAATTACATTACATCAATATATTAAACAAAAATTATTTTTATTTTTAGTTGATACTTTAGTATATAATAATAATACTATTTGTTATAAAAAAGCGTAGGTTCGATGTACTTCATGGTTTTTGAACAATCCACCTAAGATTTTCCGATTGCTTCTTCCATGGCAACTCCCACTTTTCTCTCCTAACTCACAAAAGAAATAACTTGAAGAGTTATTTTATTAAATGATGTCGTCGGTAGGAAACGACAAGAGTGTCTTAAAGTCGCGAGTTAGATGACCGTATCTCGAGTTCCATTATGAAACTTTGCAAGCCTGGATATTCTCTGAACGCAGCTCAAAATGAGACATGGTGGATTGTTCCCCCTCCTTCCCCCGCCCCTTTCCAACCTTCCCACTCTCTCTCTTTTTCTCTCTCTCTTGCGCGAGAGTTAGACAGGAAAATGCTTGTAAGGAGACTTTTAGTACCGTCTGACGCTAATAAACGCTCCTTCGAAATGATCCTCGTCGACCTCTAAGGAAAGTAATTTTATATTACGACACCATTGTCACCTATCGATGCCCGATTGAATTACATCGAGAATTGCATCACTCTTAAGCCTCCCTGAACCCTCAAATACGGCGCGGTGAGAAGAAAAAGGCTGAAAGGTACATGAATAGAAGAGGGCTGAATTGAGATAGCGAATAAAATAAAAAAGAAAAAGGTAAGGACAGTTCGAATTACCAGCTGTTCGCCCTAAAAGGTGTCATTCCTACTTTTTGTTAGGATAATCGAGTTATATTCCGAAGCTTCTTGGATATATATCCTCTTTTTGTCGTGCAACCTAAACTATTGTTTCTTTGATGATGGTCGGATCAGTGAAACTTCTCTTATTCATTCTCGTGAAAATTTTTTCTAGGTTTTTTAAGATCTTTTTTATTATTATGGTATACAATATATATATATTTCAAGATATAATCACAACTTTTCACGTCTCTTTTTGCACGTCTTACTTCTTAACGGAATATCACATAAAGCATACTCTTTTTTTAATTTTTCAAATAATAATCTTTAACAATAATCCTCTCGTCTTTTCGTGACATGTATGTATATATACGTAATCCTCTTCTATATATCGTCTATATTATCTATTACTCTATTGTCTATTCTTTTTCAGTGTCTTGCTTTTTAACCTGCCCTGTCTTTCGAATTTCCACTTGGCGCCATCGCGATAACAACTGATCCTATAATCACTCTGTTTTCAGTCACGTACGCCGCCATAAGCAAGCATGTATACATACACACAACTCTATATCATGCCCTCATATTTAACCATCACAATACGATAAAAGAAAGAAAAAAATTTCCCGTAGCTTTAGTTTTAAGGAAATCGTCTTTAGTTACATTTCCAATAGTAATCTTTCTCCGTTATCTATGTCTTAAGTTTCTTCTGTTCACATAACTCATTCCTGAGTTTTGTTATCAAAGTTTTATCTTTGGAAAAATTACGTTTTATTTATTTCGGTCACTATTCTAGGAATTAATTAATCAGTTTATTGAAATACAATAATTTATGTTTATAAATTTTAGGTGTCAATATTTATTTAAATATGATAATTTGCGTTAATAAAGATTGCGTGTATATTTATTATAAATACTGAATAATAATAATATTGAACCAATAAATAGTGGATGAACTAATTTTACTATCCATTTGATTATTTTTTTGTTTGATCGTTAAACCTTACGTAAACCCTTTATTTTTTATGCTTTTTTTTTAATAGAATTATTTTTATAGAGAGTAAAAAAGTCAGTTACCTACTACCTAATGTAAGCTAAACTCAGTAGTAGTTT